GTAAAGAAAGGAAAGAGTGATTGTGGGACACAAGCAGGGCGTAAGCTAGATAGATAATGAGAGAGAGAGAGAGAGAGAGAGAGAGAGAGAGAGAGAGAGAGAGAGAGAGAGAGAGAGAGAGAGAGCGAGAGAGAGAGAGATACACATGTCTACCACGACCTCACAGGAAAATAATCCATATCCACTTGCTTCTTCCTTCCCTCCTAACCCTTCCCTCCTTGCCCTTCCCTCCTAACCCTTCCCTCTTAGCCCTTCCCTCCTAGCCCTTCCCTCCTAGCCCTTCCCTCCTAACCCTTCCCTCCTAACCCTTCCCTCCTAACCCTTCCCTCTTAGCCCTTCCCTCCTAGCCCTTCCCTCCTAGCCCTTCCCTCCTAACCCTTCCCTCCTAACCCTTCCCTCCTAACCCTTCCCTCCTAACCCTTCCCTCTTAGGCCTTCCCTCCTAGCCCTTCCCTTCTAACCCTTCCCTCCTTACCCTTCCCCGTCCGTCTTTGCCCTTCGCTTGGGTTCTTGGCTACACTAACAAGACATCATCAGGAATGTTTTTTGGGGGGGAGAGGAAGGGAAGGGAAGGGATAGGGGGGGAAGGGCATTTTGTCTCCCTTCCTTATGATTCTCCCCCGTCTAATGTGTCTCAACCTGTTTTTGTCTCCCATATCTCTTAAGTGTTTTACCTGCCCCTTAGTTGTGCAATTCTTCCCCTCTGTATTCTTATCTCTCTTCTGCCTCTCCTTCTTTCTCTTCTGTCTCTCCTTTTCTCCTTACCTTCTGCCTGTCCTCCTCTCCCTTCTGTCTCCCCTTCTCCCTCGTCTCTCTGTCTTTCCTCCTCTCCCTTCTGTCTCTTCTCTCTCTCCTTCCCTCCTTCTCTCGCCTCTCAGCTATCTCCTGATGCATCTTATCCCACTTTCTTGTTGTCTGCCTCCTTCTCTTCTCTCTTTCTTCTCCTCCTCTAACACTTTCCTCGCTCTCTCTCTCCCTGTTCCTCTCCCCTCCCCCTCCCCTCACTCGTGTCTGCCGCCACCCACTAAACAGTTAAGACAAGCAAAACGCTCCTCCCTCCCCCTCCTCCCCACCTCTCCATCTCCAGTCCCGTGATTTTATACCCAGGACGGTCTGGATGATGATGATGATAATGGAGATAAAATGGCAATGGTTTGCCATGGGAAGGGAGAGAAGAGGAAAGGTAGAAGGAGTTATGAAACGGGAAGTAAAGTAGTAAAAAAATAAGAGCAGGTGAGCTATCCACCTAGTAGAGACGATTTGATTGGCTGTGGTAAAGGCCGCACCAAGCTAGCTAGCAAGGAGTTGTTTGTTATTGTGTTAGTTGCTTCAGTTTATGGTAGTTTCCTTCCGTTTCTGAAATCAGCTTCTGCCAGTTCCTGTTGTATGCTTCTTTTGAGATGTTTTTTTAGCTGTTCGTGTATTATGTTGTATATCCGTCTGCGCTCTGGTGTCCATCCTAGTTGTGTGATTAGTTTAATTAGGTTGCTAAATTGTGTCTGTATGATTCTTGATTGGTGTGAGTATTGAGGGTGTGGTAATGTTCGGTGAGTGATCTTGGGTATGTTGTGTTCCATGGCCTGGCTGACGTGCTCATACCATGTGTCCAGTGATTGGTCTGTTAGAGATGTGTGCCCGTTGTGCAATTGTATGGGTTGCGGGTTGTTTAATTCTTGTTTAAAGTTTTCCCAGTTAGCTCGGTTATAGTTGAAACTTAGCCTGGCCGGGATCTGTATTGGGGCTGTGGAGAGTGTGGCTATGATAGGGAGATGATCACTAGTGGATATTGGGCCGGGTTCGAGTAGTATGTTTAGGTGGTGGTGTTGATTTGTTACAACGATGTCTGGGTATACTGTGTGGCCTGCTCTGATGTACTTGGGGAATTCCGGTCCGAGGTGTACTACGTTGCCGTGGCTCACTAGTGTGTTCAGGACCCGGCCTACTGCGTTGTTGGTATGGTGTCCTAGTATGCGGTGTCTAGCGTTGAGATCACCCAGAAAGTATGCAGGTATGTTCCTCCTCATCAATCTGAGCATGTCTGCTATTGGAAAGATTGGTCGTCTTGGAGGGAGGTAGCAGGTGCCGATTGTGATTGGACCCGTTGTGCTGTTTATTTCAATTGCTAGAAAGTTTTCTTGAAATGTACCATGGATTTATGTTTTATACTTCTTTTAATTGCTATGGCTATTCCATCTTGTAACGGATTTTGGCTGGGTTTTTTTGGTATACTGTGTAATTGAATATCTTGATTTTATTTGAATTACCCTTGAGGTGAGAATTTAATATGATGACGTCTGGGTCCAGGGTACGATATATGTTGTATAATTCGTGAGCTCTTGCTGTGGTCCAGGTCAGTACATTATGCTGAATTATTTTATGTTTGTTGATTATGAATGATGATGTCTCGATCTTGTTTGCGGCATTTTAGATGATCGATGTTCTCCTGAAGCCTTCCGAGCAGTGCCGGATTAACCATGAGACACTTGAGGCACTGGCCTCAGGCCCCCCGACTCTAAGGGGCCCCCAAATCCAAAAATTCTCGAAGTTGAAGCATATAAAACATGAACTTCGTTCAACGATGTCCTAGCAACGCCTCAATTTTTCTGTCTCTTGTGAACATTGAATGTGTTATTTTGCAGAAGCGTAATAATGATGAAATCATTGATAAATTTTGGTATATTTTGTTCTTGCTATATATATATATATATAAAACCTTGAGGGTAGGGGGCCCCAAGTTGATCTGAGCCTCAGGCCCCTATTGAGCTTAATCTGGCCCTGCTTCCTAGTAAGTTATAAGCCGAGTTTACTATCCCACATAAGACGGGAAGATAATGAACCGCGCTGATTGGTCGATTCGTGGGATGACGTCGGTAAACATTATCCATCGATTGGTGGACTGTTAGGACTCATAACTCGTCATTATTGTCAAAAACATCCTAATTTGTTGATTCGCGTGACGTCATGAATATAGAAGGCCCGTGATTAGCTGATACGTGGCTTTTATAATTTTGATTTCCTTTGGTTCTGCCTCTCTTGATTGGGCTGTATATGTGACGCCATTGATGATCGTGGCTCTAATTGGCTAATTTCAAGCCATTCCTTAAAGCGTTCTGATTGATCGGCAAATATGGCGTCCATCGAGAATTTCCCAAACCAATTTTTTTTTTAACATTGATTTTGAGTTTATTTGTCATCGATGGTGATGACTGGGAAGACATCACAATGTTTCAGCTGGTTGTAAACTTCTTGTGGACATCTTAAGCACCATAGACGTCCATACATACAGATAAGAGCCTTAGCGTTTCACAAGCCTCTTTATTGTAATGTTATCTTGAATGAGGGAAATATTATGGTTAGGTTTGGTTAGATTAAGTACATCAAAGGCAGGTTAGGTTAGGTTAGTTCAGGTCACGTTAGATCAAGTCAGTCAAAGGCTTGTCAGGTGTCATTTATGTGATATTCGACCTTAATATTTTCATAGAGTTTCCCCTCAATTATTATTTTACCGTTTTCTACAGGGGAGACTATGGAAGATGGAAGTGCATTACCTGCTCGATATCAAATACATACTAGATCCTCTTTGTCTCTCATTGAACTAATTTTTCTTTCTGGAGTTCGAAACCTGAAAATTAGACTTGACCTGACATGACCTGACCTTGTTGTAACTTATTCCAAACAGATGCTTGACGAAACTTGTAATCAGATTAAAAAAAAAAAAGATGTATAGAAATACCACGAGACGTTGATGTCATATATAATTAACTAAACAGAAGGGTCATAAACCTCAATTTTTGAACCTTTGAACTTTGACCAACTCTCATGTCCTTGTGGGGCAAATGTGGAATCTGAATCTCCTCCTCCTTCACCCAACAAGTGACACACACACACACACACACACACACACACACACACACACACGAGAGGTTTAATTGCAACAGCTGACGGTAAAACAGTATTTATTTCCACTTATTTTTCCAACACTCCAGAACACGACTCTCTTACAGCTCATGAAAATAAACAGATGTTATACAGAAGATCTAGGTTAGGTTAGGTTAGGTTAGGTTAGGTTACACTGTTTTGTTTTTATTTGCTGAGATTTAATTTGATATGGTAGAATTTTTAGTTTCTGGTTGAATTTATTTAGATTTTAATTAGATTTTGTTAGATTTATTTAGATTTTGCTAGATTAATTTAGATTTAGTTAGATTAATTTAGATTTTGTTAGATTAATTTAGATTTAGTTAGATTAATTTAGATTTTGTTAGATTAATTTAGATTTAGTTAGATTAATTTAGATTTTGTTAGATTAGTTTAGATTTTGCTAGATTTATTTTGATTTATTTAGATTTATTTTGATTTTGTTAGATTAATTTAGATTTTGTTAGATTAATTTAGATTTAGTTAGATTAATTTAGATTTTGTTAGATTAATTTAGATTTAGTTCGATTAATTTAGATTTTGTTAGATTAATTTAGATTTTGTCAGATTAATTTAGATTTTGTTAGATTAATTTAGATTTAGTTAGATTTATTTTGATTTTGTTAGATTAATTTAGATTTTGTTAGATTAATTTAGATTTTGTTAGATTAATTTAGATTTAGTTAGATTAATTTAGATTTTGTTAGATTAATTTAGATTTAGTTAGATTTATTTAGATTTTGTCAGATTTATTTTGATTTTGTTAGATTAATTTAGATTTTGTTAGATTAATTTAGATTTAGTTAGATTAATTTAGATTTTGTTAGATTAATTTAGATTTAGTTAGATTTATTTAGATTTTGTTAGATTTATTTAGATTTTGTCAGATTAATTTAGATTTTGTTAGATTAATTTAGATTTAGTTAGATTTATTTTGATTTTGTTAGATTAATTTAGATTGTGTTAGTTTTCTGTAGATGTCGTTGACTTCATTATGCTGTGGTCGGAGTGCGTTAGAGATGGGTTAATATACACTTAGTTGCGGTTATGTAGAGAGGATGTTAACCATTATTTTTTCCCCAGAATTAACACCAAGTAACGTCTTCATCTTCACCTGAATACGACAGATCGGATCAACGCCGTATTGATGAGTAAATATATATTTTTTGTGTTTTAGCCTATCCTTGTTCATCCTGGGAATAACAGGCTTTTGTTTCCCTTTTCATCTTGGAAATAACAGGGTTTTCTTTCTCTTGTTCATCCTGGAAGTAACTAACTTTTGTTTCCCTTGTTCATCCTGAGAATAACAGGTTTTTCCCCTCGTTCATCCTAGAAATAACAGGCTTTTTGTTCATCCTGAAAAAAATCTTTTCTCAACCTTGGAAAAGCTTCTTTTTTTCATTCTTCTTGGGGAAAACAGGCTTTATGTCTTTGTTTATCCTGGGAATTACAGTTTTCGGTACCCTCTGTTCAACCTGGGAAGAAGACATACGTTGTTCATCCTGGACACAACAGAGAGAAACGAGAAGAGAGAAACCACATGGCCGCCACTCTGTTTATATAATATAATTGATATGGGGTTTAGCTTATGGTCGTTGACTCATGGGAAGCTGTCTCTCTCTCTCTCTCTCTCTCTCGGTGCTGCGTGATCCCTGATAATAGTGTTGGGTTTGACCCCGAGTCCTAGAGGTCAAAGTCTGAACCATGGCCCTTAGCCCTTGAAATATTAAACCCTTAACCCCTTTATCCTTTGGCCATTAATTCATAACCCTTATTTTTAACCCTTAAGTTCTTAGCCATTGCACTAAGCCCCTAAACCCCTTAAGTCGGAACCTTATCTCTTTAATCCCTAAGGTCTGAGGACCCTGAGTCTAATCTATCCCTAGCCAGCAAGCCCTCAGCTCCCACCACCTACCCTCACCCCAGCCCTTAGCTCCTCACTGACATGCAGCTGAATGTACCCTGATGAAACAAATTCCTCATCCTGCTGACGCCTGGCTGACTCACCACCAACACTATCTCCCTCCTCCTGACACTCTCTATGAAAGGGCTCAGGGGCATTGAATGGGATTTAAAGGTGTCCGTAAAGCGAAGACTTACAACCCCTTAAAAAAAATTAAAACCCTCATTAAATCTTCCAAAACCTTATGGTGCTGACACTGAGCTGACACAACCACCTCCTGACACACACAGTAGCATAGTTTCGAACCCCCCTTTCCGTCTCCGCAACCCAAGAGAGAATGGTAGTGCTGACACTCTACCAACACCACCACCACCACCACCACTACCACCACCACTACCACCACCACCACCACCACACCACCACCACCACCACCACCACCACCACCACTACCACCACCACCACCACCACTACCACCACCACTACCACCACCACCACCACCACCACCACCCCACCACCACCACCACCACCACCACCACCACCCTACTACCACCACCACCACCACCACCACCACCACCACCACCACCACCACCACCACCACCACCACCACCACACCACCACCACCACCACCACCACCACCACCACCACCACCACCACCACCACCACCACCACTACCACCACCCACCACCACCACCACCACCACCACCACCACCACCACCACCACCACCACCACCACCACCACCTAGTAAGAGATTAAGGGATGACTGGTGAACGAGAGACCCAGAATGAGGGGTTTAGATTCTCCTTATATCTTTATAATTAAGGGATTAGGTGAAAGGTGCTCTGAGGAAGTGTTATAGAGGGGGTAATGAGAGGCTTCAGAGACATTAAAGAGCCTCCAGGTTCTCTTAGACTCCTAAAGATCTCCAGAACCCCCATATAATAGCCCCCAGAACCTCTAAGAACAACCCACCCCTCACTAGAATGTTTCAGAAACCTCCCCTCACCACCACACTGACCCTCCTCACTACTTTACTGTGTCGTGAATTTTGTCGAGTCTCAAACTATTCTCGGTCGTCTAGGCTCTTTAAGTCTGTGTGTAGGACATTTATCTCCTCCATGTCTTAATTCACGAACATGTCATTATCACAGCGGGGTGTAGTGGTCAGCTGGGATTCAGAACCGGGTAAATTGACTTACTTTCCAGATAGGTAATCCGGTTTCCTTCAAGTTAAAGTAAATAGTCAGTTTTTATTGTCGTTTATTTTAGTCTTTTAATATTAGACGAATATTTAAGCACAAGTCTGGCCATGAATTGGTTACGGGCTGCGTTCTGTCTCACTTGATTAAATTCCCTCTCAAGCGTAAAACACTACCAAACAAACGAGGAAAGTTAGGTATTTGGCGACCAGCAACATCCTCATGACTTGACCGTAGCCATGGGTGTGTGAGGACAAGGCTCCTTGTGGCAAGCTTGACCTTGGCTGTCCTTGTCTGGCCGAGTAGATGTAAACAAAGTTACAGAGAGCCGAGAGCTTCGTAACTTTGTTTATGTCGATGATGGTGACGTCAGAGTCAGTGCATCATAATATGTTGTGACACGAGGAGGAGAGTTGCTTAAGAGGAGTCTATGTACATTTGTAGTCAGAGCTTCTTGCTTTGATGTACTGGGCTGTCACTCCATTTAGGGGTAAGAGGAATTGACGGCACCAGCTTTTGAATATCAGATTTGCCTCCACTCAAGCGCAGGGGCTAGTGATGGACCCCTTAGCATTCTGTGTAAGATGAGGCGCTAAACTATACAGACGGCCGAAAGGGAAACAAGAGAAGTTCATACTCGCCTTCTTGACGTGGTTGATGTAAGGCCGAAGCTCCCTGAGGGACCGCTGAGGAAGAAGTTTCGAGCATGTAAAGGAGAAGGTTGACCCATCCTCAGAGTTTTCTTGTATTGTATCTAGGCTCAGGGTTCTCGACCTATTACCTACCTGTAATAGTGGTAATCCATGCACACTTTCATTCACACAACTTGTTAGGGCCAAGTTACGGTAGATATTCCTTATAGTGCAGACTGGCGTTGTTGTCAATTACACCATAATGGCTCAGTGTGCGATATTATGTATTTTAAGATCTCGCTATGAGTTGTTTGTCTATTGTTTAAGATGATTGATGAACAGCGAGAACAGCCTCTGCTTCTTTTTGGTGAGTTTCTTCTTGGGCGAGGCGCTCTTGTGTGACAGGCAGTGACTCCTTTGTGAGAGATCATCCAGATGATCTTCATACAGATGTTATCAGTTGTTACAAGCTTGGTGGCGGCAGCGAGGATGTTGTGGATGACACGAGAGGGAGGGAAGGTAGGATATGCTGTCGCTGATGTCGAACGACCCCTTGTCATCCTGTGCAAGGTGAAGCGCAAAAGCGTTTACAGCGCCCATCTGGGAAGCATGTGTAGTTCATGCTTGTCTTCATGGCTCATGCATTAAGGGCTTAAAAGCCTGAAGGGTTATGGGTTTTGTCAGCAAGTTACATAAAGTGACAGAATGATGAGTGTGTGGGGGGAAAATTCCCGGTACAATTTATGTTTATGGCAAAGCGTGGCAGGTCCCTAATGCCAGGCCTGTCTCTAGGAGGAGGGATATCTGGCCAGGGAGGGACGAGGTGTTGGTAACAGGGTCATCAATGGTTTGTATGTAAGAAAGTCATGAGTTACCCCGGGAGTTTGGGTAGGGCCCCTGGGAGCAGAGACTGGGGTGTCAGGCATTGAGGTCCCCCCCACAAGGAGGGTGGGGGTGGAGGTGATATGTTGTGGTAGGACAGGTACAGGAGAGGTGGAGGGAGGCACATAGGCATGGCATTTTTTATTATTTATTGGGCACCCCCCTACATCCTTGTATAAGGTGAAGCGCAGAAGCGTTTACAGTACCCAACAGGGAAGCATGCTAAGTTCATGCTTGCCTTATGTCTCATGAGTTAAGGGCGTAGAAGCCTGAAGAGTCAATGGTTTTTGTCATCAAGTTATTGGAAGCTCCAACAACTTGTCCCTGAATACGAATTCGTAACCTTCGATTTACACCAGGCACCTACTTTACTGCTAGGTGAATAGGTACTAATGGGGGCTAGGAAGTATGTCCAAACAACTTCCACCAGCCCGGGAATCGAACCCCTGACATCTCGCTTGCGAGGCAAGAGCGGTACCACTCTACCACCAGCACCCCATATAGGCATGGCTTTATGAGTAGTAGTGACCTATGGAGGGTAGAGGTCGCTTTCCTCTGCCCTCAACTCTGAGCCTGGCCACACTGTTTGCCCAATAAACTAGCCCCCTGCGGGGCAATCTGTAAATCTGTTTGTAAACTTTGTGGCCAACCAGACTCTCACACCCTCTCTCACTACATCCTCACTTGCCCTATGACCTCCTCCTACAGGTCCCCAGCCGTTACCAACACCTCTTCCCTCCCTGACCAGATATCCCTCCTCCTTGTCACAGGCCTGGCACCTGACATTATTAGGGACCTGCCACACTTTGCTATAAACAGATGAAATGTACCGGGAATTTTCCACCCCCACACACTCATCATTCTGTCACTTTATGTAACTTGCTGACAAAACCTATGACCCTTCAGGCTCCCACGCCCTTAATGCATGAGTCATAAGGCAAGCATGAATTTAGCATGCTTCTCAGTTGGGCATTGTAAACGCTTCTGCGCTTCACCTTGCAGAGGATGTAAGGGGGGTGCCCAATAAACTAGCCCCCTCCGGGGCAATCTGAAAAAAAAAATCTGTCTACCCTCTACCCTCTTAAGGACCAACCCCGCCATCCATCACGTAAGGTGATAGTGGCCTTCTGGTGTGCCTTACACTCCCCCGTGGTCACATGACTTTTGTTGTGTTTTTGCCAGTCTGTTTGTCTGGTGGTACTGTCCTCCGCCAACTTCCCTCTTCACCATTTCAGACATTTAGGAGAACCTCCTCCCTCTTCCTTGATTCAATATCTTAATTTTCTGCATCTGGGGAACATGCACGAGTGAGGGGTCCTGGGGTACGGTGTGCGTAATGACGCACTCATGTTTGTAAACAACATTTGTCACAACATCAGGCGTGTTTGTTAACAACTTGTAACCTGATGACGTCACCCATGCTTGTAAGCAAGACGTAATCAGGGTATATCTTTTACGTATGCTAACATAATGCTACCTAACGACTCATAGATTGTTTCTCAACAATACTGGAGAACAAAACTTAAAGGAGACCAGAGTGGACGACACCAGCCACTTTATAAACAAACCCAATATAGACGACCTCTGGAGGATGCTCGCGCCTTTACATCATCTACACAAATAATGTCTTCTGAATATTTGGTGTTTTGCATCAATCTATTAATCTCCCTCACAGAAAAAAACGAGAGAAAAGAAACACTAACCACCCATCGTTACACAAGCATTCTCAAGCTGCATCTAACGATGACTCCAGCGAGCCAGTTGTTTAATCAGCTGGTCGGTACATGTGTGAGTAATTATGTATGTTGAAGGTCCACTCTTGTGTGTGCCCGTCTCGCCTTACTGCGTCTCTCGACCCCACTTGGGGGTTTTCCATTGTCGGTGCAAAGTTGAGGTCCCCCTTCACGTAGGACCTAAGGATGAAGAAAGTCGCTGTGTTCCTTGAGTAGAGAGAGTGGTGGTGTTCCTTGAGTAGAGAAAGTTATCGTGCTTGTTCCTTGAGTAGAGAGAGTCGTGGTCTTCCTTAGTAGAGAGAGTGTCATGGTGTTCCTAGAGGAGAGAGAGCCGTAGTGTTCCTTGAAAGCAATTTCATGTACTTCGTATATAAAGTTGTCGCGTTCCTTGAGAGCTGTAACACCCACTGCATGTCAATACCACCCAAGTCATAATGTCCCAAACAATATGCAGGGTGGGGCAAGTTGAGGTGGGGTAGGGCAGGGCAAGGCTGGGCAGGACGGGAGTCGGGCATCACGCTGGAGGCACGTGTATTTCATCGTCTCTCTCTCTCTCTCTCTCTCTCTCTCTCTCTCTCATCTATTTTATCTGCGTCTCAATCTATCTAATCCATTTAATATATCTATCTATCTATCTATCTATCTATCTATCTACCTAACTAATCATAGTATAGAACGTGTGTGCGTTTCTATACAGTATATATAAATAATAATAAAAGCAGCCAAACAAATAAGCTTGTTTCGTAACACACACACACAAGCATGTCGTGTTGTGCAATCGACTCATCCGTTACTCGTGGCTCACAACAGTTACTCGTGGCTCACAACAGTTACTCGTGACTCACAACCGTTACTCATGACTCACAACCGTTACTCACATTTAGTTTTATGAGTCTTGAACTTATTCTCGTAATATCATTGAGTATTTTTGAGGATCACGTGAAGATTAGGTACCACAGTTTATATGATCTTATGATTAACCACCCTAACAGTAGTCTAACCTAACCTAACCTAACCTAACCTAACCTAACCTAACCCAACCCTAACCTAACCACCCTAACAGTAGTCCTAACTAACTAACCTAACCTAACCTAACACCCTAAGGACAGTAGTCTAACCTAGCCAACCTAACCCCTAACAGTAGTCCACAACCTAACCTAACCACCCTAACAGTAGTCTAACCAACCTAACCTAACCTAACCTAACCACCCTAACAGTAGTCTAACCTAACCTAACCTAACCACCCTAACAGTAGTCTAACCTAACCTAACCTAACCACCCTAACAGTAGTCTAACCTAACCTAACCTAACCTAACCTAACCACCCTAACAGTAGTCTAACCTAACCTAACCTAACCACCCTAACAGTAGTCTAACCTAACCTAACCTAACCACCCTAACAGTAGTCTAACCTAACCTAACCTAACCTAACCTAACCTAACCTAATCTAATCTAACTACCAGGAAGTGTTAGGATGGTCTTATCATCAGGTGAGATAATCCTCTACACGTGATCCAGTTTTGAGACTTGTATGTGATAAATTGGGTGTCCTCATAAATCCCTTCTCTTGTCTTCAGGTGAGGGGCGCATGGAGAACCAAAGTCAAGATGCGCACGCAGGAGGTGAGTAAGGAGCTTCAACTGCGCATGCGTGAAATCTGAGTATTGAACGCGTCTTATATGAGAATATATTTTTATCATTTTAACCTGATGCAATTTGACCTCTCGTGACCTCGCATGATCATAAGAAGTTTACCCACATAGGTGTTGAGGTGATTATAGGACAGGTGCTTAACTCTTTACTTTTATATGTAGGGGGTGGGTAGGGAGGAAGGGGGTGGTGGATAAATAGGGGATGGGAGCAGGGAGAAGAGGTAATTGGCGGAGGAGGAGGGGGGGGGAGGACATGAACACTGTCTGGGGAAAGGTTGTCATTAGTTGTTACGGGATATATTCACCACGTGGTCTCAGTGTCTCGCCACGGCTTTGATGACACAATCTAGCTCAAACACACACAGAGAGAGAGAGAGAGAGAGACAGAGAGAGAGAGAGAGAGAGAGAGAGAGAGAGAGAGAGACTACATAACATTGCCTTAACTGCTGAGGGGCTGGGATACACGCCGTCAGAAGTAAGAAATTACCCACCACTGCACCATAGGTAAAACAAAACCTGTCATTGATAAACTGTAAACGAGGTGATTTGCGATGAAAGTCACTGCGGGTGCCCTGCACTGACGTAATCACGAAGACAGTCATCAGGTGCCCCATTGACATCACTGAAGACAGCGGGTGCCCCGTAATTGACGTAATCACGAAGACAGTCACTGGTGGGTTGCCCTGTAATTGACGTAATCACGAAGAAGTCACTGGTTGCCCTGCAACGACGTAATCGAAGACAGTCACCGGTGGGTGCCCCGTAATTGACGTAATCACGAAGACAGTCACTGATGGGTGCCCCGTAATTGACGTAATCACGAAGACAGTCACTGGTGGGTGCCCCGTAATTGACGTAATCACGAAGACAGTCACTGGTGGGTGCCCCGTAATTGACGTAATCACGAAGACAGTCACTGATTAGAGGATGATACATTGACGTCAGAGCAGCAGGCATATGACGTGTACGAGTAGCGGCGGCGCCTTATATAAAAGGAGCGTGATAAACGAGTAGCATTTTATCTTTATTGTGTTGTCGTGTGTGTATGAGTTAAAGGCCCACACCGCGCTAAACACGAGTAGACATATAAAGATAGATAGATATGTAGATAGTTAGATAGATAGATAGATAGATAGATAGATAGATAGATAGATAGATAGATAGATAGATAGATAGATAGATAGATAGATAGATAGATTGATAGATAGTTAGATAGATAGATATATAGATAGATAAATAGATAGATAGATAGATAGATAGTTAGATAGATAGATAGTTAGATAGATAGACAGATAGATAGATAGATAGACAGATAGATAGATAGATAGATAGATAGAGATGCAGAAGCTGGTGTTAGGTGTTGTATTGACCAACTGTGTCATTGGTAGACCACACACACACACACGTGGGGGGATCTCGTGGATTAGATACAGGTTCTGTTTGTATGATTTGCACACACACACACACACACACACACACACACACACACACACACACACACATACACATTGATCCCTTCCTGGTGCTTCCGTCAAGTAGCAGTGACACCAGGGACTTCCCCTCACCATCCTCTAACCACCATTCGGGCGGTTTGAGGATTTAATGAGACTTTTTTAGTTTAACAAATTTATTGGCAGAGCTTGTAGTACAGTTTGCCTATTCTGAGTAATTCAGTCAGGTCTTGACACTGAGGGTGGTATCACTTCTCACTGTCACGCAGGACAGAGGTTCATACACAAAGAAATACATCATATTCATTAACAACTATAAATGTATAGAGGTCAGATTCATATGGGTAATGTCACTGTTCACTGCCATGCAGGACAGAGGTTCGTACACAAAGAGATGCATCATATTCATTGACAGTACATATACATATATGTAAACACACACACACACATATACATACATATACGTATATACATACACATATACATGTACACGTACATATACATGCACACACGCACACATACATACATATACGTCGGTCAGATTCATGTGGGTAATGTCACTTTCCACTGCCATACAGGACAGAGGTTCGTACACAAAGAATGCATCATATTCATTGACATTATATATAGGTCAGATTCATGTGGGTAATGTCACTCTTCACTGCCACGCAGGACAGAGGTTCGTACACAAAGAAGGAAATACATCACATTCACCAGCAGCATATATAGGTCAGTGGATCACATACATTGGAGTCATATTCTAATTGAAGACTAATCAGTGTGGGCTAGCAAATTTGGGATAAACAGCAAGAATGTCCTCAAGCACACCTGATTCAATGAAGTAATTACATAGTTCAAGATACAGTAAGTCAGGTGGCCTGAAGTCTTTGACAGTGTCACATTCAATAATATAGTGTTCAAGTGTATGCTTTAAAGGTTTATCACAAAGTTTACATGCTGAGTGTTCTGGTATGGGTACAGCGTTACTAACTTGCCAGATGTGTCTGTATCCTATCCTAATTCTGGCCACGACTACATCACATTGTCTGGTTCTGTCCTTATGCTGGCCATACCGGTACCTCTTGTTACAAAATTTGTCATATTTACTAATGCTACAACTGTCAGGTCTCTCTGCATTTCTCACTTCTTCTAGATCAGAGTTCATGATTCTGACTTGAATGTTTTTAATTACAGCATTGGACAGACCAAGGTCACGGTCAACATTTTCTTTCTTACATGCCTCATTGGCCAGTCTATCAGCACGGTCATGATACCTGATTCCTACATGGGACGGAATCCACACAAATTCGATACGAAAGTTGTTCTCATTGGCAGTTATCACATTCCTTTTAATATCACATACAACTTTAGACATAGAGCCTGACGGGCTGTTCATTGATTTCAAAGCACTTTGAGAGTCACAGAATATCACCCCACCTCCATTTTCTTTGAGGTAGTCTGTGGCTAAGTAGATTCCAGTTAGTTCAGTTTGTGTTGTGCTGGCCCAGTTGTTCAGCCTTTGTTTGTTTGACACTATCATCTCTTTTTCTTTATATATTACAATTGCACAGACTGTTCTACCTGTGTTTGTCTGCACACAACCATCAGTAAAAACATAACATTCACTTGATTTAATACTCTCTATGTGTCTGTTAATAGTTTGTAGTGTGACACATCTCATCACATCGGTGTTTAACATTTGCTTACTACCAACAGGAGTGTAATTAATAGGAACTGATATGTCCAGCCAAGGAGGAATGGCATTAATGGGTTCGTCTGGGGTGATTGGGACATTCAGTTTCAAGAGATCTGCAACACTTTTATGAAGCCACGCCCCAAAGAGAGTCTTAATGAGACTTGTGACGTTAAACTCGAACACTATAATTCGATCAAACTTGTTGAATACAATTAATTTTAGTATTTCAAATAAATCACACATAGGCAATCACATAAATGTCTAATCCAATATATTTTTACATAACAATCATAGCTGTGTAATTAGTCTAATCTTAACACTTACAATGAGTACTTAATTTGCCATATTTTTATGTCGTCACAATGATAAACGATGCAATGGACACAGTCTACCTGTGTACACAATAAGTGCAAGTTAAACTTACGTGTTGAAAGTCTTCAGGAGAAACAGGTTAGGTGTTGGTGGTGTGATGGGGATAGCTACTGTACAGTGAGGCACTGGCGGTGCCCTGCTGGTCACCACGTGATCAAGTTGGCTACTTCAAACTCGCTGTGTCAGGCGTATTATACGCAAACAAGCTCACCTCACACCACCCAACACCTCAACCTACTCTGGGTCTCTCATCTGCCTCCATCTCAACACTATATACTGTATACGGGCAGGCACGCCCAATAAACATGACATGAATTATAGCCTAACATAACGTTTGTTTATGTGTCATCATAATTCAGTACCGCTTGCGGTAACAATCCTAGTACTCAAAAGATCCTACGTTAAATTTTTCTCCCCAAAACTCAACAAATCGTAAGTTAGATTTTCTCTTAAATGCATCGTTTGATAATTTTTCTTTTTACCCTAACTACAAAAAAAAAACCGCGTTACATTCCCCTAAACTTAAAGAATCCTCCATTATTTTCCCCTAAACTTAAAGAATCCTCCATTATTTTCCCCTAAACTTAAAGAATCCTCCATTATTTTCCCCCTAATTTATCGTACGTCAATTTCTTCACAAAGTCAAGGATTGAACATTAACATTTTCTCCCTAACTTCTATAAAGCTATACTAAAATTAAGGATTCTCGTAAAATCGTAATTTATATTTCCCCTTAAGTCGAAGAGGTAGAAAGATGTTCAATTAAGTTACGATACAAAAACAAAATAATTCTCAAAGATTCTTATGTTGTATTTTACCTCTGATTAGAGATTTAGGAATGTACTTATTCACTTTAGCAACTTAGGAAATATTAATGGTTATAAGGTTATACGTTAATTTTTCCTCGTAAGAGATATTATGAAAATGTATCTGCCTGGCTCACATAAAATGCCAGTGGCGAGATCTTGGCGACAATGACTTAGAAATTGTCCCTTTGTGTGTCTGTTAGTACAATGAAGCCTTCTGTTGTGTGTCTGTTAGTACAATGAAGCCTTCTGTTGTGTGTCTGTTTGTGCGTTGTGCTGTGGTGGTGGCGTGCTTCAGGTGGTGTTGGTCTGTCGCGGGTAGGTAGTCGGTGTTGGCGTGTTTTGGCTAACTGGCGGCGTGTTCTGGGCGTACCCTGATGTAAACTTGGCGGGATGAGCCAAGCACAGACATAGGCAGGGTGACGCAAGTAGACTGTGTTAGCCGGGCAGGGAAGGTAAATCAAGCAGAGACAGACAAGGTGAGCCAAGCAGACAGAGTTTGGCTCCAGCGAGGTCGGGCGCCGTACTCAGAATGTAAACACGTCAGTCATACTGTTCAAGAGCAGACTAAATTGACGGTTATGTCCTGTTATTTTCTTATCATTCTTACTTCATTTATTCATCTCTCAGCCGTTATTAAATCTG